CACTAGTCTATAAAAAACGTAGTAATACGTGTCCCGTGCTCTACTACACTGGTAGAACGTATAAATATGTAAAACGTATAAACATGTTTCCCACATACAATGTGTTAAGAACAGTATGCCATATATGCCAGGTCCCTTGAAACAGCAAGGATGGACCGGCTCCTGGCAATCTACGAGGTGATGGAGGAAAGACAACCAGTGTTTAGCAATAAGTTTTGCATGGACTTGAAAACAAAGAGAAACAGCCTACCTTTTGTTAGTTTTTGCTCTATTAATCCATTGTATGCCATAAGTGTTTGTAGACGCAAGAGGCAGACCTTCCCCACACACCGCGCGTGTCTATAAAAAAATAAAATGTTGCCTGGCCAGCGTGGCTCAGTGGTTGAGCATCAATCTATGAACCGGGAAGTCATGGTTCAATTCCTGGTCAGGGCACATGCCCGGGTTGTGGGCTTGATCCTCAGTGTAGGGCATGCAGGAGGCAGCAGGTCAGTGATTCTCTCTCATCACTGATGTTTCTATCTCTCCCTCTCTCTTCCTCTCTGAAATCAATAAAAACATATTTTTTAAAAAAATGTTTTCCGTAAGTGGTGGTCCTGACGAACTTTAAAATAATTTTTCATGAGACTTTTTAGCTGAATATATTCAAGAACACCCAAATTGTAAGTAATATATTTATTTTTATAATATTCATTGCAAATTGATTTTTTTAAATTAAATTCAAAATATCGTGGCATGTGGGGATGGTTTCCATTTTGGATGCATGGTAGTTAACTGGTTAAAAAAATTCAGCAATCCCAAAGAGGAAAAAAAAGGCCTTATCTCCTTGAAGCTCCAGATAAAGGGGATAGGACCACTTTCCCTGAACCAAGGATTTATATGCCTTCTTCTGCTTAGTGAATTGAGAAGAACAGTGTGGTTTCATGGAAAATGCCTGGTCCTATGAGTCAAATCTAGTTTGAATGTGGCACTTGGAGGAGGTTATGTATGTATTTTATTTTTAAAAAATGTTAATGCTTTTAATCTATGACTATACCTTCTTAATGCTACATCAGAAGTTGATTCAACAATGCCGAATTCAGAAAACATAAGTAAGAGAGATCCAGCATTTTATTGGGACTGCACAATTAAGTGCAGTACTAGGCATTATGATTCTAGAATAAAAATAAAAATACACAAAAGTGGTATAGTGAGGAGCTTATGCATTTAAATTCATTGCTTCAGGCCTGCTAGGGTCTGGGTCATTTTCCAGTGGAATATCCAGATACCTGATACTTCTTATCACTGTTTTGCTGCCAAAGGAAGAACACTCTATCTTAAGCCCGTCATGGCTGCTTCTGGGCTGTGTGTAGATGTGGGCATACCCACACACCATTATTATAACTATTCCAGACAGCTTTCAGCTGATCCTACTTTGAAACAGACACACCTGTGGTAAAAATAAAAATTAGAGAGTTTCTAGGGATTGCCCCAATTCAGGGGTTCTTGACACCTTTAGACCCTCTCTGCAGATGGACTACAGGCATTTAGTCTACAAACTTACATCTAGCCCAGCATTTGTCTGTTGTAACCACAATGTTTCTCCATTCCCAAATATATCTGTACATTCATACATGCATTTTATTCATTCAACATCAGTTGATTAAGAACCTACTATATGTCAAATATATGTTTATCATGACTAGTAAGCAGAGGAATATAAATTAAAACGTGGTATATTTTCCCCCTAACAATTAAAAAAAAAAACTTTTACCTCAAAATATCCAGGTACTGACAGATTATAATGGAATTGGCACATTCTTTTTGAAAACTTTGGAAATAAGCGTTAAAAGAGTGAGGAAAATGTTCATACCTCTTGACCCAGTAATATTATTCCGAGCAATCTATTCTAATGAAATAAACCAATTCTGCCCTCAAAAATTTCATATCTCTGAGGTAAGACAGCAATAATTAGAGCTGAAAGCAAAAGAAGGGTGATTTTCAAAGAAAATTCTGCGAAGGAAGATTAATGAGGGACTAACGCTATTATATATTAAACATACAAAACTAGAATAATGAAAACACTGGTACCACGGGTACACGTTATGACAGATGACATTCTAGTAAACTCCCTAAAGAGACAGTTATATATGAGAATTCAGTCTAGTATAAATATAGCATGTGTTGCAAGTGAATGGGAGTAGAAAGGATTGTTCAGTAAATGATGTTGTGACAGCTCAAAGCATTTATACTCTCATTTCCTGTAATAAACTAAAATAAGTGGCAGTTGGATTGAAGAGTTAAATATAAAAAAGCAAATTTTAAAAAACTAGAGAATTAGTATTTATCAAGCCTCTGAAGGGGAATC